GAAGAGCAGGTGAAGTGCTTCTCTTAATTTTAGGTTCCTTGTCAATCAAGAAGTATATGTTCCCTGGATGTTTGTGAAGATAAAGTGTCTAGCTCAGTTCCTGGATCATAGTAAATGCTCAACCAAACATTACTCTCCTGTCCTGCATGATTCTAAAAAACATCAGTTGAGGCGTCTATACTGTGAGAATTCAGCAAGGCTAAACCTTATGGGTGGAAGTAAAAAAACTAAAATGGAAATTAGAGGCTTCCTACCTAATAGTCTGATGCTACACAATGATAATTCTACACACTCTCTGGGTTTACAAAGCACGTTTTACACACACACCCCTAATGCAGAATATGGTTTGCCGTCAGTCTCAGTACCTAATATGAATGGCCTTTTAATGCAAGCTAAACTCTTGCAATGAGTGCCATGAAATCCCAGCCTACGCAGCTTACCCTTTCTGACCACTTTGTCATAATCCTATTTCCTTTGCTTTAGCTCTTTTCTAAGGTATCAGCTCGCTCTTGTGTCCTGAAATACTTGAATATTTTAATCTAATTCTCCTTTTTTGATGGACAGATTTATTTTCTATCATCTTTAATGAAATTTCCAGAGATAGGATGTAAGTAGTTATGTTAATGAAATTTATGTTTGTTTCTCTTTTGCAAAAGAACCCTTTGGATCAGTGTTGTGTCAATCAAAGCCATCAGAATGATGGTCATCGAATGCAAACCTAATCATTCAAGTCTAAACTCCCTTGAGACACACAAACCAAAGGAGTTCACACGTCCCTATCTAGTTATTATTTTCTTTTGTTCTACTTATTTTTAATTCATCATAACTAATTACATTGGTTAATTGTGTTGATGTCTAGAATGGGAAGTATTGAAAGTCATATGTTAACTGGGATTCATTAAGAGTAAACGGTTCATGATTTATGTGAATAACAAAATATGATCATTTCCAGAATGCTCCCTTTTTTAAAAAAAATTACTTCTACTACTGTGTGCATTGTGTCCCAGATAATGCTCAGAACAACAGGCTTTTATTTTTAATTTTTTATTTATTTCAATAGGTTTTTTGGGAACATGTGGTGTTTGGTTTCATGAATAAGTTCTTCTGTGGTGATTTCTGAGATTTTGGTGCACCCATCGCCCGAGCAGTGTACACTGTACCCAGTGTGTAGTCTTTTATCTCTTACCACCCTGACCCTTTCTGAAGTCCCCAAAGTCCAATGTATCATTCTTATGTCTTTGCATCCTCATAGCTTAGTACCCATATGTGAGTGAACACATATGATGTTTGGTTTTCCATTCCTGAGTTACTTCACTTAGAATAATAGTCTCCACTTCCATCCAGGTTGCTATGAATGTCATTATTTCATTCTTTTTTATGTCTGAGTAGTATTCCATATATATATATAATATATATATATATGTATATATATCACATTCTCTTTATCCATGAGTTGATTGATGGGCATTTTTTGGGCTGGATCTGTATTTTTGCAATTGCAATTTGTGCTGTTGTAAATGTGTGTGCAAATGTCTTTTTCATATAATGACTTCTTTTTCTCTGGGTAGATACCTAGCAGTGGGATTGGTGGATCAAACGGTAGACCTACTTTTAGTTCATTAAGGAATCTCCACACTGTTTTCCATAGTGACAACAGGCTTTTTGAGTAAATACTTATTTACATCCATACCTGCAATCTACAAGATAATATCTAATTAACACCTGACTTTTAAGGCTTCACTCAGTAGACCTCAAAACAATGGATGAATTTTTGAATGATAATGAAAATTTACTCTGAGGTTGTGTAAAACACTGGAGTCTGAGGAAACCACAGACTTATTCAAAACCTGTCGCTAATTTATTTTCTTACCTTAAATTTATCTTAACCCTGTGGATCTCAGACTCTGTTGGCTATCGCAATCACCTGGAGAACTTGATAGCTCTATGCGTGCCCACACCCTATCCAACTTCAAAAAGTCTGGTCTTCAGTGTTGTTTAGTAGCACCTCAGATGATTCTGATACACATCAAAGTTTGAGAATCACTGACTTAACCTTTTGGGATGTTAATCTTCCTAAAAAGAAATATCCCATTTGTGTGAGTTTTGAAGGAACAAAAGGAGATGGGGGTTAGACATAGGAAATTACTAAAGACCATCATTGCCAACCACAGGTATGTGGAGGTAACTTGTAGGTCTCACCAACAACAGTATATCCAGTAGGTAGAATTTCAGGACCCCAGTGTCGTGGGTGTCTCGTCCCTCCTTGGGAATGGAATAGGAATTACATGTTGCCCCCCTGTTCTTGCAAGGATAAGAATCAAGAATCCTCCTTAAATAAATTCCTCTTGAGCTTTCTCATGACCCAATCGGGACTTCTCAGTCTCCAGGTTTCCCAGCAATGCCCCAACCAATAAACCTGCCAATTAAGCAACTGAATATCATTATTGCGAATGTAATTACAGACAGTAATTATGAGCTTGTAAATGCCTCCCATGAATGAAGCCCTTTTCCCAAACCATCTCGGCTGCTTTTCTTTGGAAAATGGAAAGCAATCCTATCCCTTGCCTCACCCCAAGTGTAGCCTTCCTTGCTTACAAGAAACCCCCTTCTTGCTGACCCAAGGGACATGCTAAGCAAGCTTTAATCGGCTGTGCTTTAAGGGGAAATGTCCTCTTGGAGTGGAGCCCCTTTCAGCATCTCTCAGCCAAGCCTTGTTTCCCTAGGGAGTAATGACTACCCAGTTTGGCTGTATTTCTTAATTTCTGTGGGGTCAAGGGAATTAATACCAAATTTTAGGAATTTCTGTGGAAAAATCAAATCTTAAAGCCTTTTCAAAATAGTTTGAGAACTTTAACATTATTTACATTTAGCTTTGCGAGATGCAATTTGCTGAGGATTTAGAGTCTCTGAAAATAAAGCAGGCACCATAAAAACATGCATGGTGAGAAGACTTTTCATGTCTGTGGAAATAATATCAATCTCGTTGGGCCCAGAATTAACCCCTGCCCTCAGTAACTTTATATTTAGCACATGAAAACCTCAAGCCCTTATGGATAATGGTACTTGAATGAGTTACACATGGATATGTTTAGCTCGAAATGCAATACAATCTTTCAAGATCTCAATCTGTTGTTGCCTTTTAATGGATAGTGAGAATAAGTGCCTGTAATTGCACCAGTAGCTAGCACAGTCGAAAGTGGTAGAAGTCCACAGCTTTTTGATTTACCATGCAATGAATAATGCCATGTAAACTCTGAAAAGGAAGAATCTATGTTTATATAATGTACCCCATACAATGCTTAGCACAGCCCTTTGCACAGAACAAATTTTCAGAGCTCTTCTCTGAATAAGATCAAATGTTACACCCAAAAGTTAGCACAGTGTACAATTTTTAAAAGGAGACTTATTGCTTATTGGCCAAATTAAGCTATTTCAAGCCACAGCATTTCCATTTACTATGACAAAGGAATCATGTGTTGATGATTACTTTGTTACTATTGTTTATGGTTTTCTCCTGGAGTAGGAATACAGTGTGCATGGGCATTGGAATTTTCTCGTAGTAACATGAAAACCCAGAAGGGTAAATGCAACTTTCTAAAGTGACTGAGTAATTTACACTTTTAGAGAAACCATCCTAACCAACATTAGCTGAAGACATCTGGTAGCTTTCGAGAGGGTGCTTATGAAAACCTAAAGCATTTTTAACCCTCATGTTAAATAATTTAAAATTCACTTTAAATATTTGAAAGTCAGCATAAAATTCACTGTGCTATGCACAGGTCAGGATAGACATGTCTCTCTGAGCCCCAGGGATATGGGTATCCATGGTCTTCTGGTAATTTCAGTGTTAAAAAAATTCACATATAAATTTGTGAATTATGATCACTTTAAAGAGACCATATAAACTCTGAAAAGGAGGACTGACATATTTATGTTATATTTTTTCTAATTTTGACAAACAGTAACTTAAGAATTTCTGAAAATATGGATGACCAGATGGATTATGTTTTTTTAATGTGTACAACATGCATACAAATATGTGTGTGTGTGTGTGTGTGTGTGTATATATATATATTAGCTTGCTCATTTTTGCTCTCTATATCCATGTACAGTAAAGATATTTAAGGAAGTAAAATTTGCCACCGGGGAAGGTTAGTGTCAGAAATTTTTCATCATATCATTACATTTTTTCCCATTTTCTATAGGCCAAACCCTCAAGTCCCTATAAATTGAATAGAAAAAATATATATAATATACATAAATAATTAACCAGCTGCACTCCAACCGAAGACTTTAAGTTCATCATTCTATCATTAGGGCTCTTAATTTGTCCCACAGCTAAAGCACTATCTGCTTTCCTTCATCGGTTCTTATTGCCAACTTGGGACTATATTGAAGCCCTTTACAAAACTTCTATTTGTAAGATCCCCTGCTTTTTTTTTTTTTTTTCTTTTTGTAGGCCATCAGAGGTAGAAGGTGGTAAAAACAGAGTTGCCACTCTCGGTGTGGCCACGTGAGCACGTCCCATTTAAGTAACAGGGTGTCCCTCAGGTCAGCTTGTGATAAAACCCAAGTCAAACAAGGCTGAATCCTGGGTGTTTTATGTCCTAAGGATCTGAAAAGTGTTCACGGCCAGCCCTGACCCTCAAGACCTCAAATGGTCATCTAAGCAGTAACATAAATTGGTGTGTAAACTTGCTCCTGGGCCATTGCTGTGGAAGTGGGACTGGCGAAAGTACAGCCTTGCCATGCAAGAACTAATGTCTTTCTAGGCATTTAAAATAAGGGGGAATGTGTTGATTACTCCGACAGGCAATCCAACTGCAGTGGCTAAATGCCCAAGGCTGACAAATTCTGCATCTTATCACTACCATCAAGTGGCGTGTGAATCCTGTAAGCCCCAAAAGAATTGAGACACAACTTGCCTTCCAAAACTCTGCATCTCAGCAAAATCTTGACAATGCCAACAGCTCGTCATCTCGTGTTTTTCAACCCTTTAGAAAATGGCCTTACAGCCTGGGACAAACCGAAGCACTGTCCAGACCGAGAACACGACTGGAAGCTAGTAGGAATGTCTGAAGCCTGTCTACATAGGAAGAGCCATTCAGAGAGGCGCAGCACATTGAAAAATGAACAGTCGTCACCACATCTCATCCAGGCCACTTGGACTAGCTCAATATTCCATCTGGACCATGATGATGTGAACGACCAGAGTGTCTCGAGTGCCCAGACCTTCCAAACGGAGGAGAAGAAATGTAAAGGTAACCAGATTTTTATTAGCCCATTATCATGTGTTTCAACAAGAAAAAAAAAAAAAACCGTGTTGTAACTGTGTACTCCGTCTCCATTTCTCTTCCAATGTATGGCGTCCCATGTTTTCTCCAACTGTTCTTTTACTGGGCGTCATTTTCTTCAAATATTCTTTTTAAAGTAAATAAATAAGTGGAATCCAAAGAAAGCAGCTTGTTTTGGATTCACGTTGTGCTGGGACACTTGGGGTGACGACATTTTTACTTCTCTAATTAGGAGAGGGGTTAGTTTTGGCTTTAATTCCATTTTTGGGTCTGAGTTGAAACAGGCATCGCTGTATTTTTATGACGTCTTGCTTTAAAGTGTGTCTGTGCATATGTACATTTCTTTTCGCAATTGTGCCAGTAGCTAATGGGATCTCAATGCCCACCTTTAACCTAGACAAGTCATGCTCAAATGAGAGGTTTTAAGTTGTTGTCTTCTACTCATTAAATCCTTGTGTCATCATCCTGAAAGGAGAGATTATGGTGTTAGGAGGTTGTCACCTCATAAGGCAAAAAAAAACATTAAACTGGCCTAAGTTCCTGATTGCATTAGATTTAACTGTTCTTTACCTCAGGTCGCCTCCGCCCTGACAGATGTCTTCGTCCTGATCGCTTTATTGTCTTAGGGCTCCCCAAAATCTTTGCTTCTTAAATCAATTTGTGTCTTTCAATGTCCAAGAGATCAATTTGTATCTTTAAATGACTAAGTTCATTTAATTTCCCATTCTTTTTCAGCTTAGTGGGCTTTTTTTTTTTTTTTAAAGGAGGGTCTATTTAGTTTTTCTTTTTGGATTGTGACTCATGGTAAAGTTTAAAATTGTGTTTTGAAAATCTCGTAATCATATACCAACATATAATAATGAAAGTTTACAAAGACTCCCATTTACAAGCCCTGAAGGACTTACACAGCTGTTCTACTTTGAACATATACACATGATTATATTTATCCTTCATACAAAAGAACTGGTCTTTTAGGTTTTCTGAAAATACTTTGAAAGCTCCTAGGAACTACCAGTTTACCTGGGAAATTAAGTGTTTCAGTTGGAAATAGAGTTAATCAAAAGTAATGGTGAAATAGTGTTATGAACTCTGATTTGAGGGCAGTCAAAACTATACATGTCCCTTTGGAAAGGTTTCTATTTGGACTCTCTTATATATATAATCGAGGAGATCTGAGAAATTGAAAGGGCTATTTAGAAAAAAAGCAAAATAAAGTTTTTCAAAGGAGTCAGCATGTAGGACGTGTGTGTGTGTGCGCGCGTGCACGTGTGTGCATGCACAAAATACATTTGTTTGCAATACAATTGAGATTTAGTCTTAGCATATGTGACCAGATTGTATCTCCAAATTATATGGGCTGGCACTAAAACCATGTCAGTTTACAGTGAAATGCCAACAGATAACTCTAGCATCCTTGTGATCTAATAATGTCATAAACCCAATTTAATTCACTCACAACTGATACCCATATTCATTCACTTATTTATTCATAGAGTCCATCTATGTCTCTATCATTTAAAATAAACCTTGGCCTTACATATCTAGTTTCCAACACCACACATTTCAGTTTGTTGGCCATCTTAAAAGCAAAAGGAAACAGTCTCTGTTTGGATACAAGATGCTTAGTAGAGTGGTTAAGACCACAAATATTTGAGACTGATCTATTTGAGCTAGAATCCTAGCCTTTCTACTTTCTGTCCTTGACCAAACTTATAAGATTAATACAATTAAATAAGATGATGTATTTAAGCATTTAGCAACGTACCTGACTTATAGTGCTCTCTAAATAGCAGCTGTCATTATTGTTGTCATCATTATTATTAGCTATGCATCATTAAGTCATAAAAATACCTTGAATCATGCTGTGAGCCTGGTAAGGAATGAAGCAAGAGAAGACTTTCAGATGGATGTGGGGTGGGGCATGAGGTTTCAGGGAGGTTAGAGTGGATAATTCATTTTGCATTCATTCAACTCTTTTTCACTGAAAGTCAGAGATGTAATAAGAGAATATAATTAAATTATTGAAGTCCCTCCTCAAGATTCTAATATTAACAGGAAAACAACTAAAATAAGTCTCCCATGTTTTCCAGAGTAACCGCCAGGGTTCACCTTGACATAGTCATGAGGCAATGCCTTGGTTCAGCATGAAAATGCCACCAGGAAACCTATGTTATCATGGTCCAAGAAACTTATAAACTAAGTATCATTGATTCAGAATGGGCACATGTATTGAGTGAGGCAGCAGTGAGTCCAGGACAGCAACAAGATTATACAGTCTTTCCTTATAGAGCTGCTTCTCCATCTGCTCTGCTTGTCAGCTCTGTATAGTTACTATGAAGAGAGTTCTATTTTGATGTTCATCCATGTTGAGCATTTATTTCCTAGATGGCTGTCTATCCCACACTTGACATCTCAGTCTTGGGCTAGTAATCCATGCATTCACTCATCTGTGTTTATTGAGTGCCTGTATACAGGATATTGTCCTTGATGTCCAAGCATAAGAAAATGGCAGCAGGGCCAAAAGAACATCCAACTAGCCCTATTCCAAGGACCCCATGTAGAAATGATACGAACAAAATAGTCCTGAGGATACAAAAGTTAATTCTGCACAACAGGATCCAAAGAACAAATTGACTCCTTGAAGCTATGCAGTGAGCCCATCTGCCAGATCAGTCACCTAGCCAGGCTAGAGCAGTGCACTTCTAAGCGTGGTTTGGGGACTGGGACCTTTCTGTGAAGTGGTTATTACCATTTCTATTGATGCAAATACAGAAACTGAGAGTAAGCTTTAGAAACTTTTATAGCAGTTTGACGTTGCCACTGGCATCCAAATGCATCCAAATGCATGATCAGTGAATTTGTCTCACTGAACAGGATGTAGACAATTGGATGTTGTCAAACTTGCCTGGTCAGTCACGTGTGGCTTGAACTACGTAAAAGTCTTGTGCAGTAGAACCATATATTGCTCCACAATGGACCAGATTTTTAAAATAGGCTTTCACTTCAAATCGTTTGGGAATCACTGATTTATGTTTGTAGTACTCTTAAATATTGTTTCTTTAGGGGTTTTTGGTAGCTATCTAAGATTTTGTTTGTCATTTTGTTCTGAATACTGCTTTTTTTTTTTTTTTTTTTAAACGGAGTCTTGCTCTGTTGCCCAGGATGGAGTGCAGTGGCGCAATCTTGGCTCACTGCAACCTCTACCTCCCAGGTTCAAGCAATTCTCCTGCCTCAGCCTCCTGAGTAGCTGAGATTACAAGCATGTACCACCATGGCCAGCTAATTTTGGTATTTTTAGTAGAGACAGGATTTCGCCATGTTGGTCAGGCAGGTCTCAAACTCCTGACCTCAGCTGATCCACCCACCTCGGCCTCCCAAAGTGGTGGGATTACAGGCTTGAGCCACTGTGCCCAGCCTTACTGCTTTTATTTTAACCTGCATATACCTATGCTTCTGTCTGCTATAGGCATCCTAAGTGAATTAATTGGTACCACATTTAATTAGAATGAGAGCTCTGAAGCCCTTACATTCTGTTGCAGAGCCCACAAGTTGAATCTGCTGGAGTATCAGAGGCTATTTTAACCAGGAGCAAGTGACCCATTCCCTTCTGCAACTCACCCCACCCACCCACACCCGCTCGTTCCATGCCACACTTCCTTGGCACTTTAATCACAATTTGAACTGATTGCTCAGCCATAAGGACCACATCCTACTCCTTGTCCTCCTCCTCCCTTCCCGGTCTGAGATGATATATCCAGTGCTACTGAAAGTGTAGGAGTACCAACCAGTGGCACTAGGAGAACCTGGAGTTTTGTAGAAATAAGAATCTCAGGCCCCACCCAGATTACTGAATCTCTAGAGAGGGGCCCAGCCTTCTATTTTCTTGCCAACCCAGTGCAGGTTCTTAATACCTGGGTATCATGATGTGCTTGAGAATACTCTTAAACTCGTAGCACAGGAAAGGGTCTGCCACCTGGTGGGCACTTAGGAAATGTGCATTTTTTTTTCCCCTTCCTTGAGTGCACGTGGGGAGCCACTTGAGTCCCTCCATTCTTGGTTGGGCCTTTCTTTGGGCCTGGCTTATCTCAGTCGCCAACTGGAAGGTCTGCTTAGTCACTGCCTAATAACAGATCACCCTGGGACTTGAGCCCTTCTGAGAACCCCACGCTGTTTGACTGAGGCCTTGATCCTCCCCTGAATTCTTACAAGGCTTCTCCCCTCTACCCTCTCATGCCCTACTGTACTTCTCACTGGGAACCACAGGGTCCCACCTCCCACAGGATGGGTTCTAGACAGATGCGTGGATCCCTGGAGCTGGACCTAACCAGCCCTGCTGAACCCAGGCAGACAGGCCTCTATACTTTTATGTCAATCACGGACCTTCCTGAAACTGTGAAACCCAAGGGGAGAAACAAGGCAGGACTCACCCACCTCCCTGGTGGACTCAGAATAAAGGAGAACAGTCATCAGTGATCTCACGGAAATGTCTCTGTGCTTAACATTTTCCAAACTGATTCTGGAATACCCAGGAAGGCAAGAGGGAATGAGTTAAAATAATTTTAAGAACAAGTTATTTCCTCCCATTATAAAAGCCTATATGTTCATGGTAGGAAAAAAAAAGTCTACACATTTTTTAAATTGCAAATGGTTTCAAATCAGTTGAAGTTCTATCCCCCAAGGGTAGGCACTGTACATTGTTATTATATTTCAGTCTTTTCTCTGTGCATGTGTATTTTTTATAAACCTGGGATCAGACTAGGCATACCATTTTAACCAGCTTTTAATGCCTAACAATATATCATGAACATTTTCCCATGTCATTAAATATTCTGAGTCCTGACTTTCATTGGCTATAGATTGTTCTTGCTTATAGATGTATCATAATTTATGAAACCAGACCTCAAGATTTAGACAAGTTAAAGTAATTTTTTAAACAATATCTTATGTCAGCAAAGGGGAAAACTATT